TAGGCAAAGGCTACCAAATAAGTGCTTACTAGGGTCATCACACTATAGGGACAGCAGACTGAATAAGATCTATATGCCATATCCGCCAATATAACCAGATGGGGATGGCGGACACGATGAAGGCGTTCCCGAAAAAGAACGCTGGGGACTTGGCCGAGAGGTTGTGGCTGAAATCCTGAAGGAGCAGGTCCTCCTCGGACTGCTGCTTGGAACTGCCTTTGGGAGCCATGGTGGAGCAGAACCCAGGAGCTTGGAGGGCGGACAGCACGCAAAGCCCCACAGAAGCTTTGGCCTGAACTGCTTTTAATTATCAACATGAGCCAGTTTTTCTAAACAATCTCACTGATGACATGCTCCTCCCTGATGGACATTCTAAATGATTGTGACAGTGACCTGAGCAGACTGCTCCCAGAGGCCTGTCAATGACACGTCCTGACCACGTACTGTCAGGAAAAACACTCAGCACAGTGTCGGGTGGTAAATGTCAGCGATCACACTTATGCGAAAAACAAATAGAAATACTAAGCCAAACAGAATAAATCACCTCAAATCGAAAGTCAAATATCAGAGTGTCTGTCTCTGCCAACGAGGAATGTTTATCCTGAGTGCTGAGTGTGCTTCTGAATTGGCTCTGGTTCTGTTGGGATTTCTGTCAGTTAAGATATGATCACTGCTTTTCAATCACTTAATTTACTGTTTTATGATCACGTCTGAGTCACTGTTATTGTGACTTTAAAATCCTAAATACCAGATTTTGAAACTCAGGGTAGAGGAGGGTGATGGGTGGGGATAGATACCACTAACCCTAGGCACACAGGGGCTCTGGACTCCTGTCCTCAGCAGGATGTGCTGGTCACAGGTGTCCCTTCTGGCTCCGGTTGAAGTCCCTGGAATTCTCTAGGCCTTTTGTCTTCAAACGGTTCAACCCATGCCAGGGGGATAAAAACTTGTAAGGGACCGCTTCTAAATCATAACATCCAATATACTTTACCCCATACATATCCATGTTCTCACTGACTGTCGTTTCCAGCCTCCACGTTCATTATCACTCCTGCTCCAAGTTACCAAACACAGAGACAGACCATCAGAATCTCCATACAGACCACTGACTCTGCACGTACAAATCTCCAGACTCCAAAAAAAAGTGTAAGTATATTGTGGTTCAGGAAATGTTTTCAATAGAAAGTGATTTCTAATTAAAGACCTTCATGGGCCGGCCGAGTGGCGCGATGGTTAAGAACTCGCTTGGGATGCCAGAGGGCCCCGGTTCAGATCCCACATATGAGGGCCAGTGACACTGCCCTCTA